AGAATGGGAGAAGATATTTGCTGGTTATGTCTCCAACAAAGGTTTAATAACCAGAATCCACAGACATCTCAAATGCATTAGCAAGAAGAGAACAAGTGATCCCATCTCAGGGCGGGCAAGGGACTTGAAGAGAAACTTCTCTGAAGACAGGCGCATGGCCTACAGATATATGGAAAAATGCTCATCCTCCTTAATCATCAGAGAAATGCAAATCAAAACTACTTTGAGATATCATCTAACATCAGTAAGATTAGCTCATATTACAAAATCTCAAAATCACAAATGCTAGTGTGGTTGTGGAGAAAAAGGAACACTTCTACACCGTTGGAGGGATTACAAACTAATACTTTCCTTTTGGAAAGACATCTGGAGAACATTTAAGAGAACTAAAAATAAACCTGCCATTTGATCCTATAATTCCTTTACTAGGTATATATTCAGAAGACCAAAAAGCACACTACAACAAAGATATTTGTACTAGAATGTTTATTGCAGCCCAATTTATAATTGCTAGGTCATGGAAGAAGCCCAAGTGCCCAATGATCCACGAATGGATCAATAAATCATGGTATATGTACACCATGGAATACTATGCAGCCCTAAGGAAGCATGGAGACTTTTCCTCCTTCATGTTTACATGGATGGAGCTGGAAAATATTCTTCTTAACAAAGTATCTCAAGAATGGAAGAAAAAGTGTCCAATGTACTCAGCCCTACTATGAAACTAATTTATAGCTTTCATAGGAAAGCTATAACCCAATTATAGCCCAAGAATATAGGGAAGGGGAGAAGGAGAAAAAAGGAGGGGGGAAGATGGGTGGGAGATTGGTGAGATCATGTCTATGGTTTATCTTTTAAGGGTACATGTGAATCTTTCTAAATGAAGAATATAAATGTCTTAACACAATTTTAAAAAAAGAAAAAATACCTCTGATTCCCTGTACCATGTTGGATAAAACTAGAATGTCACCCCAAAACACACCCCCTTGAAATAAATTCCAGCTGAAGACAATGAAGAGGCAGAGAATGAAGGAAAAGCTCTTTTCTGTCTAAAGACAGGATATATTAATAAATTATTTTTTATTGTTAACTTTGGGCTCTTACAATATGAGAAAGGGCACCGGAGAAAACTGTAAACAAACTTTCCACCACTTGTTTTACCCATAAGCCACCCTTCCTTGCCTTGCCACCCCCAGACTAAAACTGCTTTTCTTTACCCTGTCTTTTCTGCAATATTTTATTTCAATATTTGCAGAGACACACAGGAAGACTAGTGGAAGATTCTGTATCAGTGCAGTTTTAAGCTACAGAACTACAAGTTAGTTTTCATTGTGGTTTACCCTCTTGAAATGTACTAATAAAGTTGTACTGATAAAGTTGTTATCCCAACTAATAACTTAGATGTGTAGTGGTAAATTTTGGCCTCCCCTACAGTGTGAAAAGCAGAAAATCACACTCTTTTCCCTTGGAGGATTCAATAAGATCAAAATCTTCATAATTACCTACATGACACTAAAAGCACTATGTAAACCAGCAAAGAAGTCACATCTTGGGTCTAAACTTAAACTAGGGGCTCTTTATTCTGATGCATCCAAGGTGATTGTGTTATAACAGTGTTGACTTACTCTTAGAAGCTTCCTGATTTTAAAGCTGACCAGTTTGACTTACCCAACGCTGCTCGGTATATTCCTGTCACTGTTCACTTTTCCTGTCCCCTAGAAGCTTCACTTTACACCCTCTCGCTCAGCCCTGGTTTTCAAATAACCCCAGCAGGTCCTAATAGACAATTAAGGAATTCTATCTCTTGCATTCTCTACGCAGCTGTGATGCTGGGACTGGGACTCTGCAGACCACATTAGGCTCAGCCAGGCAGAGCACGGGGAGGTTGCAAGGCAGCCCCAGAGAAGGGTCTTGCTTCCCCCTGTTTGCCACTGTGTCCTGGGGGCCCCCTGTCCACGTGCTACTCCTTTCAGCATCACCCAGCACCTCCTGCAGCAACAGTCTGCAGATTTTCCAACAGTTAAAGGAGCAGCACCACTTCCTCCCCAGAGTCCCGAGTTTCAGCTATGCAGGAACTCACCTCTAAGTTTCTAAGTCTTTTTTTTTTT